CAAGGCTCAATGTGGCTAAACGACATGCTAGCTAAATGAGCTGCGTGATAGTGAACCTGACTTTGTTGTTCATGGATATATTTTTTGCTGACTGTAGTTAGCGTGACTATCCAAAATGTTAGTTACAGTATTTTATACAGCGGGAGAAAAGATTTAGCTGCAATGTACTTGTTCTTATGCTCTCTCCAGCTAGCATAGCTTTACAACATGATAACTACTGTAAACCAGATGAACTAAGGTGCACTGGGTTACTGAGTTCTTTTGGCAACTGCGGAGTTGCATTTTGTTGTGTCACTGCTAGGTGTGTTAGCCTTGAGGGAATTGACAAATGCTTTATTATCTTGTTCTGCTCCCATTTAGTTGATTACATCTTTACGTCATAGTTTGGATTTTACCGTCTGTAACTGCAGTTTTACCCACAACTAATTTGCCTTCAATGTATTTTTAATGTTATTTTTATTCTTATTTTATGCAGAAGAACGGTTACTATGACACTTGTGGGGTCTGTTGCACTGCCAATAGGAAAGCAGCTCTGCCATCAGGTGGTCTGCAGCTATTTTGAACTGGAACTTAATGTGAAGTGAAGCAAGAGGCTAAATTAGAGGCACAAGGCATCGACATCAGAGAAGAAGAAGAAGAAGACGAGAGGGAAGTAAAGTGAAAACAACATTTATGTGGTTTCAGAGAGTAAAAGGTTATTGATCAGCTGCTATTTTGTCTCTCGCTGCCTTTCTTTGACTGGATTTCTCTTTTTATTGACTGGTGCATCTTTGCCCTGATTCTCTTTGCTGTTGCTCCTTTGGTCTTTGGTCTTTTCTTAATGTAAACCAATCATTAAATGACACAGATGTCCACACATGCACAGACACATACAGTGTGATGGCTAATTCCACCCACTCTCCCTCTCCCTCTCCCTCTCCCTCTCTCTCTCTCTCTCTCTCTTACGCTGCGTTTCACTTCATCACTGACCTCTTTCAACAATACAATGGCCCCAGGACTGATTCAGTGTAATTGCCCCATGAGTGGGGTTTCTTAACTATCACTTATTGGGTGGTGGTGTTGGGATGCACCTCTGTGCTCTGTGATGACTCAGACCAGTAAGTGGAGGTGGCTGTTGCCGTCCTCATTAGATGCCGTATGACACGCACCGCATCAGTGTTTGTGCTCGAGTGGGATGGAGGCACCGCGCATCCCACTGCGCTCCAGTTTGAGCAAATGAGACAGGAAGGGAGGAAGGCGTCACCTAGGAAACAGGGAGTGTCTGTGTGCGTTTGGTGGCTCGGCACTCTGAAGCCTCGGTGCGACAGGTGGCAGAGCAAGAATCAACATTTGTGTTTGTCGATTCAGTTCGTATTATGACGACATGCATGGACGGCGAGCAGAGGCGAGCGTTTATCACACTTTCTTGCACGTGTAAACACTAACAGCCGCACAGATGCTTCACTCCTATCACACATGAATAGCTTGTCACTTCACTTCCACTCAGAAATAGCTCTCTCCACATGTCCTGTCGAGCAGGATTTGGATCCGAGGAATCACACCTCTTCACTTCCATTTTTCAGTAGATTAACATTTATTCAACACTGGTAGTTTTTGAACTAAAGAAAAAAATTGTTAAGCCCCATTTTTATCTATGTCTGAAACGCTGGAATATAAAGAACAGAAATATCATCTTCAATCATCTTGTGGCTGTTTTGTCTTTATTCACCGTAACAGATAAGCTGCCTTCTAGATTTCCACCTTTAACATTGTCACTGAGTCTTCTGTGTTATCTTTAACTCTTTTTTAATAATGCCTGTGTTGAAGATTCAGCAGTGTTTAAAAATGAACAAGCTGCCGGTAATACGCAGACAGGATAAGGAGAACGTGGAGGTTTTTGTTGTTACAGTAGACAGGACTAATGACAGTGTGATACGGTGCAGTTAATGCACTGCGGGGGTTCCTGAAGGGGGCAGATTAATGAAGTAGAACTTAACCAGCTGTGGGTCAGGAAATCATAGAAGCAGAGAATAAGAGCAAATGCAACAATAGAAATACCTATTTATTAAAATATAATTTATGTTGTAATTTAATTATGAGTACCGGTAGTTAAACCATTACTTACTTCTCAAATATGAATAATTATTAAAAAAAATGCCAGCAGCCAAAAACTACAGCCAATTGTTGTTAAATAACAATGCGTCACTTCATGTATTTGTGAGATTTTTTTTTCTGTAACATCTGTGAACATTGTCCCTGAACAGGAATGCAATCCTGCACAGAAAAAAAACAACAAATATTTACAGTTGAGGGTCATGTACTGGAACTGCAGGGACAGCTGTTTTTGCTTGTTTTTAATAATAAAAACAATTTCCATACATACATTTTATATATATATATATATGTCTCACAGCTAAATTCAGTAAATGATGAGGATCAGGGTTTCAGCATCATAGTAGTGAAGTAAAGGAGAAACATTTCTGTTCATAGATAACATTTTCTAGTTGCAGTGACCACCCAGAGAGCTTAACACCACAGGTTCTGCCATCTACAGGTGGCAAAGACACTCTAAGATGTAAGACCACTGCACTGACTACGTAGTTGCAGTCACAATACAGTAAATACTTTTAGTGTGTGGTCTGAATGTAGCAGGATGTGAACAGTACAATTAAGATGACAATTCCTGAGGTCGGTGACAGAACTGGGTATCAGGCATAACTGCTGAGTTGGCAGGAAAATTCAATTGTTAACAGTTTCAGGACGCCACAAACGGTGCTTCTGGGATTGTGTTTCTCCAGGCTTCAGACTGAGTCTCCACCCTGTCTTTGCATACAATGTTTACCCATCGACAAATGAGTCATGTGGGCCAGATCATCCGTCATAAGGCAGTCTGTAAAGCGAAAGCATCGAACCACCTTGGTGCCTGACTAAGAACTTGAGAGCGTTTTTGGAGTCTTCATAGTTCCTATAAATATCACATTAGCTTAACACAGCTTCTTACTCACGAGATACGTGTTGTTCTCACGACAGGCAGACCATGAATACACCCGTTTAGAGAATTCATCGTCATTACATATGGTTCATGTCATCTTTGCTTATTCTCACCTCTATTTTAAAAACCTGAACCTAGTGACTCACTTCTTCTGCCTGGCACATTCAGCTGTCCACATTCTTGTCAGCACCTCCTACAAAGCGCCAGGCAACATGTCAGCTGAAAGCCTGAAAAAAAAAAAAAAAACTGCAAGTGCAGAACAAGTGGGATTGTTATATAAATTCGAACACTCTAACACTTCAGAAGTTCAGGCTGCCTCCCTCACTGCGGCGCTCCACTGAACAGTACAGTAGGCTGACGCCGCAGGCTCAAAAGAGGCTCAAGTTTTTATTGTGGTATGGGAGTCTGGATGAGGGTCATCGGCAGAGAGTCAAGTTACTGTACATGAGTGGTGGATGTGTTGGAAACTGTATCCACTTCATGAGAAATTTATATCTCCACTAATGTTATAAACAGTCCTCAGGCCTCCAGATCTTTCTGTCTTTCTTTGACTCACCCACACAACAAATCTTCAGTAGTTGTGTGATTTAACGTGTGGCCTGACTGACACCGCAGCGGAAACACTGGCCCGTCTTCATACGTCCTCTCAGATTTCACACCGTCAGCCTTCATGCAATACTTGAAGGCTGTTCGGACGCGGCCTCTCTGCGATTATTTGAGCTATGCTTCACATTGGGGTCACAACATAAACACTCAGACACTAAGATAATGAGCAGGTATTTGCCCCCGGTTTTATGTAGACATTTTAAAAGTTGAACACAGTGTTCGGGATGTCATTAATTGGCTGAAGCTCGAGCACTAATGACTCCAACACAAACACAGGGGTTGGTTAGCATGTTGTCAAATGTCAGAGCTACTGTAAAGTAACTGTAGCTGAAGTACAAGGTTGAGACGAGTTCCAACTGTCAATTAGACTTTGATCGTACGTTGGGCAAATGGATCCAACGTTAGGTCTTTGACCTTTGACCTTAAAATAAGATACAAAAATGTGAAAAGTGCAACCGAATATGATGTTTATGATAGGAAGTTCGTTAGCGACTTGTTAGCTTTGTTAGCCGGTTGTAACGTCTCCATTTGTTCCTATGACATTTATATTTGAATAGTTTGAATAGTTACCAAATGACAATCATTAGTTTCCATGAGTTAAATCATTTTGGATTAATGCAAATGGGATGAAAGCCTCTATCTAAAAGATGCTCATCCTGTATGGTTTACTAATGCATGAGGGTTTTGGTCGTCTCGTCCAGTGTATGTGTTCTGCAGATGATGAAGTACTTCCTGACAACCCAACATGCATTTCCAGCCCACAGTTTTTCCACGTCTGGCTGACATTTGGAACTAATGACACTAAATTCCCTCCTCGTACAGTATATGGTGTGAAAAGGTCGTCCAATGTTGATATTCCAGCAACAAGACAGTAATGGTCGATGTGTGGTCCATTTTAGGTGACTGATCCATGACACACATCTTCATCCTTTTGCTGCAGTTTCTAGATCTGTTAATGGCGGAGTGATATCGTTTTTCATACGCCTCATAAAAACCAAAAGATCAGTGGTGTTACTGGTCGTCCATTAGCCACAAATGTGCAATTTGTTTTTGCCCCAAATGGAGTCTGTTTGTCATTTTAGTTCCACTCAGCACTCATCCAATCCCACATTGAAATGTGGGCTGGACCATAAAAACCTGGGCCACCAATATTCAGTAAGACTTAGTTACTCCAGGATGTCTTAGGGAAGATTATTATTACTTTGAACAACTCAAAAAGTTGATCGTGTTTTAAACGAGTCATTTTGTTGCCAAATGTGTGTAGCCTTAAATCACCCTCATAATGATATGTATGGATGAAGTGGATATTTTTTGGCTGCTGTAAGGATGGAGCCTCCGTTGATTTGTTCCTTAACTCAAAGCCCCCACCTTCCATGCATCTGCTCCTCAACTTGACAAAAACGTCTTCTTCATGCTTTTCCAGGGCTCCGCAGACTCGTACACCAGCCGGCCGTCGGACTCTGACGTGTCTCTGGAGGAGGACCCCGAGGCTCTGAGAAAGGAGGCTGACAGACAGGCACTTGCCACACTAGAGAAAGCAAAGGTCAGAAACTAACTGCTGTTCTCACTGTGGGGTCAATAGACGTCATTGTTGCGTAAGATTCACGTCAGTATCTAGTGATTTGCGCCTCTTCGCCAGAATCACGTAGACACTGATCCCTGTGAAATCTGCCAATCAGTCCTTAACGTGTCACTAACACGTCTTCTTCTTCTTTTTCTTTGTCGCTGCTGCAGACCAAACCAGTGGCGTTTGCTGTGAGGACAAATGTGGGATACAACCCCGGCCCGAGCGACGATGTTCCTGTGCAGGGCATGGCCATATCCTTTGAAGCCAAAGACTTCCTGCACATTAAAGAGGTTTGGATGAACCGTGGACTAAGACAGAGTTTTTACATTCAAGTGTCACACATCCTTATACTGGAGAGGCAGGAAAAAAAGAATCAATATTAAATATAAAATTATATATATATATATATATATATATATAT